TTTTTTTTTTTTTTTTTTTTTTTTTTTTTTTTTGCACGGTCAAACTGATTAAGTGTCATCATTTGTTTCGCTCTTTCTTTTTCTTCTTTATTAACTTTTAGTTGATTATCTGATAAATTTAAAAGTTTAAAGCATTTATCAGTCAGTAAAGCTTCGTACATTATCGGACGAGACACTTTGAGCATCGCAATACGAGATGTCAAATCTGTTAGATCAAAACCTAATTTAGCGTAAAAGCCAATAAAAGCTACCATCTAAATTTTAAATATAAAAAAAATTTTTTTTATACTTTTTAAGCCGATTTAAAATTGCAAAAAATGAAAAGAATTTCTGTTTTTTTTGTTTTTGTTTTGCAAATAAATTAGCTTTTTGCAGAACAGTTATTCTTATCTCTATTCAATCTTAAATAAATAATTGTTTTTTGCTGGGTCTTTTTAAATCTGTTAGTATAACACCAATGTAGTCTTTGTGAAATTACGTTTATAATCGAAATTAAAAACCAACCTAATTTCTTCTGTATTATAATAGCTAAAATTTATACAAGAATGAAAAATATTCTTAATAATTTAAAAACAAAAAATTGGTACAGCTGTCTAAGTATTGAAGTGCTTTTGTAGGTAAGTTAATGCTTCTTAAATAAGTGGTTAAGTTTTGGAAAAAAAAAGACTTCTGAGAAGAACAAAATAATACTCTAAATTCAGCTCAATTTTTTTCTTTTACTTTACAGTTTTTGGATAGAAATCTGCCTTTTTTTGTTGTTGTTGTTCGTTATCAATCACCGATGTGTAAGTCGGCTTTTGGTTAATTGTTTTAGACAAAAATTATACTGCTAAAACAAAGATGAAAAAACAGCAGTTTTAGTCTGATACAGCTTATTGCAGTAACGTCTAAATCTTTTCATTAATCATTGGCAAACTGCAGTATCTGATTTAACGTTGAAAATCTGCTTATTTTGTCAATTTTTTGTCATTAGACAACGCATCAAAATTACTGCTGAACTAAGGATAATTTGGTTGAAATTTATTAATGTTTTTTTAACCTATAAACAATCAGCTTTCCTAAGCTGTTTAGTTTTTTAAACATTCTGCTAAATTTATGACTGTTTGAATATTGAT